GAGTAACCTACCTGAGATCTAACTAGATACATAGCTTGCAGTAACTCAGATGCGTGATCAAAGGCTACCATGCCACTTTGCTCTAAGGGATTTCTTTGATATTGCTCTACCCTGTACTCTATTCCAAACCTACACCTTGTAACCAATAAAGTTCTCCTTTGTATCTAGCATGGGAGACTTATTGAGAGAGAGGCTAGATTATGCTTTGGGGTCCCCTTGGTTTGGCTGACTGAGGGAGACCACTATTTGTGCTTCAAACTGAGGAAAACACCCCAAGTTCTTGAAGTAGGTCAAGTACCCTCAAGGGCAAATAGGCCTGTGTTTCCCAGAAGGTGCAGGTCCAGGATCAGTCCTGACTCTGGGTGGTGGCAGCATTACCCACAGCCTAGCGGGTGTGCCAGTAAGGGGGTTAGCCAGATGTGATGCGCCCCCAGGGAGGCACTCGGAGCCTGGAAAGTGGTCGGGTGCAGTGAGGTGGGTGACAGTGCAGGAGGACCCCCTACTGACCCACCACATATGTCAGCCAGTTTATTAATGCTATCACCAGCTGGTACAAAGCTAGGTCTTCTCCAGTGCTGGAAGAGGATAATAGTCTTTTTTTTTTTTTGTATGAAACATCCATTATTGATGTCTACATATGCCACACAACTAATCAGAGGTTTAGTTGGCAAGCCAGAAAGCTAGAACAACACAACTCATTGAGGTGGCCATGTCCTACAGGAGGATGTTCAGTGAAAATCCAAGATACCACAATCTAGTCATAAAAGTGCTGGTCATTTAGTGCCCTAGTTCACGAGCACCTGGCAACAGAAGTTCTCTCCATGAATGGAGGGATATTAAAGTTGACTGTGAAATTCTCAAGAATGCAGGGAAAAAACACTAATGCCTCTTGATTTAAAATAGTTGGACCTCTACAAGTGTCTTAGACTACATGAAAGTACATCTCTCTCTCTTTTTGTGAGGGAGAAGGCATGTGCTTACAGAACACTGTAATCTGTATGTTTAGCAGCATCTGGTATTGGCCTAGGGCATGGTGATGGTGTTAACAATAATAACTATATCAGAACAAATGTCTACACCACATTTAACATTCTCTAACGTTCCTGGTAACATTATTATCTTGCCATATTCCACCTCATCAGTTACTCTACCCACCATCTCGTCTTCCTTCTTCATGTAAATAAATGAGGTCTGTCTCTCTCTCTCTCTCTCCCTTTGTTAAAATGTGTATGGACCAAAGGTGGAAGTTTGGGAGAGGCTCTTACACAAAGCAGTTCAAAGTATGAGAATCAGTTGTATAACTTTGGGGGTGGGGGGTGGAGGGGACAAGTGGAGAATCAGCACCACATCCAGACTTAGAGGCAGAGTGTGAATGGTGTCCCCACCAAGGACCTGCCATCCCCTTGTGCCACCCAGCTGTAAGAGCCAGGTGTGGGGATATAGGAGTAGACCCATGTGTCAGCTATGACCTTTTAACCACTCTGTGGCCAACTCCGCTTCACTAAAGGGACTATAAGCATTTCAGAATTTAAGAGCAATGGTTCCTGAAGCCAGTGATGGTGGATGCCAGAGAGGATATGATGGGATAGATCACTGTAGAAATGTCCTGTTCATATGTTGTCCCTCTAAAGCATCTGCTCCTGCCACTCTTGGAGACAGGCTGCTGGGCTAGATGGAACAGCAGATCCATGTTCTCTGCCGCTTGAGTGGTTGTCTGGTGGGTGGGCAGAGCGTGATGTTGGGGAGGGAGAGGGAATAAGGATATGGAATCAAACATTTGGCTCTATCACCCCTTTGCAGCATGAAGTAGGAGGGCACCTCTCTTGGCTCAGTACTCTGTATGCTTTCTTGCAGTAGACTCTGCACTGAGCCTTTGGCCAGCATTAAGTACTTCATAGGAATTTAGGACCAGACATGCTCTTTACCTTATAAGGGAGTGGAACAGTATTTTACTCCATGGGCTGTGCATTATATTTAGCTCTTCTACCTACCATTAACTCCAAGCATAGTTGATTGATTTCTCTATTCATTTCTTTTTAGTTTAATATCAAAGGGCACATGCATTGAAAAGGGTTAGAAGGGATCTTAGGAAGTCATCTCATCCAATCCCTCCCCCGCTTGTGGTATAATCATCCCTGATTAAACCATGCCAGAGAAGTGTTTGCTTAGCTTGCACTTAGAAACTTCCAGGATGAATTTTCCATAACCTCATGGCTCTCTGGTTTCTTTGGCTAAGTCTGTGAAGAACCTATGAAGGTTTTAGGGACCATCAGTGTTCAGGGTTTATAACGCACACAAAGTAGGGTAAGGTTTATATACCTTAATAGGCCTTGTATTATTAAAGATGTTTAGAACTTATTTTAAAATGCAAGAATGGACTTTACTATTCTAATGGATATTAATTGATGACATCTATGGATTCTTCCACCTCGGCAGCAGTCCTAAGTGACTAGAAGTAATTACCTTACTGTCTAGGAAGAGTTGGCAGGTATATTTGAACTGTATTTCTGTGCCAGAGGTCTGCTTGTTTTTGGTGTTTCCAGGCCACAAAGCTAAACCAATGCAGATGTTACCAACAGGAGATCTTTGAAGATAAGCTAAGCAATGTCTTAGCTGTAGGAATTGACCTACTTTCTCATGATGAAGGGGGTCTCATCAGGTATGAGGCATATTAGGCAACCTTATACCAAAAGATCAAACTACTGACATTTGTCATGTGCATAGGCCATCTGATGATCAGGAACTTTCAGCACTACAGTTATTTAAAAAAACCCCCAAAAAACAAAGCAAAACAGTATTAACAGAAGGTAGCCTTTATAGATAGTATTTCCTTTATCCTTTAAGAACAAGATTTCTCTCCCATGCTTATCTTTTCATCCACTATTTCTTTATCCATTCCCAGGTCTAAATAGTTCCTGGTAACACTGTTAGTGGTACTAACATATATTTTTTTCTCCCTAATGAGTTGCAATCTGTAAAATTAAGTATACATATTCATTATGGGCCATGAACACAAGGAAATTTCCAACTTGGCTATACATTGGTCATTAAAATGGCATAATGTTTTTATTCTCTCATTGCAGATGATCAAGTACTCTTAATTTAAAAGCAGGTAATTATATTTACTTGATGCAGTAAGACAATGGGGAAATAATTGTTAACTACAGCAATAGGTTCTGCATTAAGTGTTGTTTTGCCTGTTGGCATATATATATATATATATTTTACCTGTTTGTTTGGGGGTTTATATATATATATATATATATATATATAAAACCCCAAAAAAAAAAACAGTTGGCCAAATGATCAGTTCCTGTATTACATTTCAAAAGAAGGCCTTGCAGATTGTAGCAGTAAGTTTACCAGCTGTGGAGAGACATCCCTGAGGTTGACAGAATTTCTAATCTCCCCATTCATTTTAGAGCAAGGAGCAACTATTTCTTTTCCCCTAAGAATTTGCTGAATGTCTGCAGATAACATTTTCCATGGCAGGTCCACTCTTCTCTATTTTCTCACAAATTCTCTATTAAGTTGTTCAAGTTATATCATAAATATATGCTCAGTTATCATGGACTCAAAACTTCAATTTGTTTCATAGGTGATGTGTGTGGAGGGCATGTGCCCCCCCGCCTCCCCATTTCTGTGCCAATGATGGGCTGCAGCCTGACCACAGCCAATGTTCAGTAGCAGCAGGGGCAGTGGCGGTAGCAGTGCTGCAGAGTTGTGCCCCACCCCCACGATCAACACTTCTGTGTCTATGATTTGTTTGCATATAAAATTATGCAAATGCTAAGTCAGATTTGTTTTCAGAAATATATTGATTTGGGAGGCTAATTTTCATTTTAAAAAGTAATTTTTTGGAACGAGACTGAATAGAATCTGCATTCTGTTAGAAGTTTCTAAGAACATCCATATAGCTGTTTATACATTTATTCATCCTCATTCATGCATCTTTTTTCTTTCTTAGTCCATTCACAGTCTATACATTATCATGATCATCGTTAACAGGGATCACACTTGTGAATTAAAAAGCCAAGGCAGGACTATTCACAATAATGTGTCAGTAGTGCTGTCCGGGAATGGAGTTACACTAACATTGACTGAAAAGGTCTCTAAAAACACTGGAAGTGGAATGAAGATTCTTACTCGTTTAAATTTAAAAAAAAGGTGCATGCTTGTGGAGACTGCAAAGTTTCCTAATGTGGCTTGCTTGCTCTGAGGAAGTAGGCAAGGTTTAGTTTCATAGGGTCGGAAGGGACCTCAATAGATCACCGAGTCCGACCTCCTGCCCTGGGCAGGAAATAGCGCTGGGGTCATATGGTTATTCATTGCTCAGCACATTCTGCATTTGCACTGGCACATATTGGAAACCTATAGAATAATAACAACAAAAATAGTCCAGATAATAAGGATTTTCAGTATCCCAATTTAAGACTTTAAATCCATGTTTTGCAAAACAACTGAACATGGAGATGTCTGTTTGCCATATCAAATGTCTAAATACTATTAAAGTAGTAATGATGAATCAGGAACCTATTGCATTTGGCACCACAAAACAACAGAACAAAAAGAACATCTTTGCTTAAAAGAGTTCACAATGTGAGTATATGGCAACAGACAAGAAGTGAAGAGTGGCATGCAGATGTTGCAGGACTGGGAGACAATATTGGTCCTCATCAGCTTTTCAACATATCTTAATACTAAGAAAACTGTTTGAAAACTCTCAGGCCTATTTTATCGATTCTTACATGTGGATCTATGTACATGGCAAATTATGGTTATTTCTGTAACAGATAATTAGTCCCCATTGTGCTACACACGGTCAAAACCCAAAGAAACAATCCCCTGCTTTTGCAGTAGGATTTTCCAAAGCTCCTTCCTGATAGAATTGAGACTTACTGCAAGACTTTGAAAATCCTAGTCTTAACCAATAAAAGAAGCAGAGAGGGAGGTGCCCTACTACTCCGACGATTTGAAAGCAGCAGCAGACAAAGGGTGCCTCAAGCCTTTAACTTCTGCATGGGTTGTTTTATGGTCACATATGCCTTAAGGGCATTTTTTACCTTCTTGTTCCTTAAAGTATAAATGAATGGGTTTAATAAAGGACTTACTATCGTTGTGAACAGCGCCACCACCTTCTGTAGACTAAAAGAGTGGCCCTGACTGGGTTGGGCATACATGAAGATGGCACTGCCATAGAAAATGGAGGCCACAGTAATGTGGGAGGCACAGGTGGAGAAGGCTTTTTGTCTGCCTGTTGCTGAGGGGATGCGCAGGACTGTGGTGATGATGTAGAGGTAGGACACAGTGGTAAATGACAAGGAAGTGAGCAGTACAACACAGGAGAGGATGTACTCCAGCCTGAGGAGGAGGTCTGTGTTGGCGCAGGACAACTTCACCAGTGGGGCATAATCGCAGAAGAAATGGTCTATCACACTGGGGCCACAGAAGGGCAGCTGACAAAGCAACATGAGTGGGAAGAGGGTGGAGAGGAACCCACCCAACCAGCAGCCCATGACGAGAAAGATGCAGACGCGTCCCCTCATGATGATGGGGTAACGGAGCGGATGGCAGATGGCAGCATAGCGGTCAAAGGACATAACAGCAATGAGGATAAAGTCTGTAGTACCCAGAAAGAAGTAGATGTAGCACTGAGCAATGCAGCCCCAGTAGGAGATGGTTTTGTCCCAGGATAACAGGTTCTCCAGCATCTTGGGGGCAATAGAAAGGACAAAGAGGATCTCTAGGATTGAGAGGTTGCAGAGGAAGAAGTACATGGGGGTACGGAGGCTGACATCTATACACACCACAGCAATGATAGTCAGGTTCCCCATAAGGGTCAAGATAAAGATGACTAGTACAATCATGAAGACTAGGAGCTGCAGCGGCCATGGCAGCGGGAAGCCCAGGAGCACAAATTCCATGACCAAATGACTCTGGTTGCTCATCATTATTGCAGCAAGCTGTGATGGCCTGAATGTTAAATTTAATAAATTCAATTGGAAATTAAAACATTTCACTAATATTTAAATGTTTCCTCCTAACCCTCCCCCACTCCCCACCCAACAAAAAAACCCAGCTTAACAGAATCTTGACATTTTCCAAAAAAATGGGTTCTTTTTGGAAAATCAGGATTTAATTTTATTTTTAAATTAACATGACAATGAATGCATATTATCAACCAATACTAGAGAACAATCCAGAATGTTTAGTAGTTCATATAAAGGCCAGGTTATTTAATGCTTTGTTCTCTTCTGCTGGAATAAGAAAATCAGCAAATTAAGCATACATTTAAACAACACTAAAGCGAGCATGGGAATGAAGCCCAATTTACCAGGGCACAATAAACAGCCAAGGAATGAAGCATGTTTCCAGCTCATTTTTATGCAGTTTCAGTTTGGGCAAGTATTCAAAACATGTATTTAATCATAAGTAAGACGACAGCTAGGCAGATAAAAGGACGGACAGTCTGTTTCACACACGCAAACATGAAAAAAAAAAAGAAAGACAGACAGGTGTATGGGCTTAGGGGACATTTTTATAGTTAAAGTAAAATCCTTTTGGCACAGGAAAATGTAATGATCTGAGACATGCAAACCTAGAGATAAATAAGATAATTTATTTTGTTCTCTCTCCCTTTCTTACACTCACATAACCATGCACTGGAAAAATAAAATGTTACCTTTTCACTCCAGGGAAATGTAATGAAGGCCTTGTCTTGCTGGTCGCATGGAAATCTCTTTCACTTGCAGCAGATTCCAAATTTCTCAGCTTGTATCAAGACTTGGCTTAAAACAGAACGTGACATTGTGTTCATTACACGCATTACGTGCATTATATAACAAGCATTGTATATGTGCATGTATGGGAGGGGAGCTGAACCTTTGTTATATGAATGTCTTTCTCGTTGCTAATGTCTCACCACAATCGTGATCAAAGGGCCGGTCTCCATTCAAAGCATATCATGAACACCAGGTGAATATGGTTCTTTAAAATAATCCTGGCAGGCACCTAGGGAACCAAATGCCTGTGCCATCTAAATTCAGTTCATCTATGCAAACATCTTTAAGACAGCAATGCTCTGTGAAATACAGAACATCCTGCTGAGTCCAATGGGACAGTTCCCTCTAGCAAGTCTCCTGCCTCACTCCCTCCAGTAGACTCTTCTCGAGCTGGAGCATCAGGTTCTGCTCCACATCCAAATGGACAGCCCTTCATATTGAATCCCTGCCTCCATTGCCCCCTGCATGGCATTCTTTTGCTCTGGACTGAAGCATCCACACTGCCCCTGAGCGCTTTACTCTCTTATCCTGCACCAGGTCATTTATATCAACAGCCACCTCCTATTTCCTGTAACCGTGGGCCTTTGCTTTTTATATGTTATCAAATGTGGACCCTATCCTAAACCCAGAAGCGATATACAAACTCTGAGATATACACATGAGTAGGTATATATTCACTGGAGAAGGATGCGGTAGCAAACAGTTTAAAATTCATTCTGGATTCATGCCAAAGCCTTTCCCAACTCTTACCTGCCAGACTGACCGTGATGTAAATAGGTGCCTGGTCCTTAAGTTTGAGGAGTCAAAAGCATCCACATCATCCCCTATAGAAATGGGCCTGACTTAGCCATGCTGGGTCTGCGGGACTGTGGACTTTGATGTTGACTTTTGGTACTATCCAGAGGATCCTGACAGACCCCATGATTAGCCAGAGACATGCTATGTGCTGGGTATGGCTTAATTCAGGAAATTTCCATGGGCTGTATGACATAGGCCAGAGGGGATGTGCCCAGGGTTTCTTCTGGCCTTATAATGTATGAATACATGATGCAAGGTCAGATTCCCCAGTGGATATAACTTGACTTTCCTCTATTATATCACTGACCAGATCCCAGCTGGAATAAATCAGCACCAGCTTCTCTTAAATAAACTGGTCAGACACCTTTCTGCTGCCATGCGCTATATTCATTTGAGCAAATCCACAGCTGGCCTAAGTCAGGGCAACTCTATTGCTGTTATACAGTCAGTGATGCCTATACTGATTTATCCCACCTAAATAGCTGGCCAACTTGGAGGCCAATCAGAATTTCTCTTGTGTTTCTACAGTTCCTGCCTTTGTTATCCTTGGCACTGATTTTGCTTTGGAAGAAGTTTGGCATATGGGGAAGTGCTCAGGACTGATGGGATCAAAGGACACTGTACTGCAGCTGGACTAGATGTCCTCAGGTTTCTGTACTCCCCCTCCACCAAATATTATCATCATAGATTGTTTCAAAAACCAAGAAGCAATTTGAGCCCCAGATCCCTGGGGGTTTCACTTCAAATGTTTTGAAAGAGATTTTATTTTAAATGGGCGGGGGGAGGCTGAGAATGATAGGGCATCTTAAAACAGTTCAAGCTGGTTACCAAACAGAGGTAAAACATTATTATCTTCTTTTAGTGAAAAGTCCACTTATCTCAATCCTGGCTTATCAGGGAAATAAATAAATAATTCAACTCTCAGCACTTCCTAATTTTCTGTCACAGAAACGAAAGTCAGAGCACAACAATTCCCAGCAGCAAAGTCAGCGGAGAGATAAATGAAGTTTTGTTAAGTTTATTCCCTGGAGTTTTCATTACCGACAAACCAGTTTTTTAATGACTCAGAAACAAATGAAGTACCTTGGAGGCATCTAAGCAGGGAAAGCCTTACTAATTAACAGAGTCAGTTAATTAATCAGTTGCTAAAAGTTTTGTGGAAGACAATTTGCCAACTTTTTCCTGTATGCCTTACATCACCAGCGTCTGAAACAATCAGCATGGGAACAAAGGAGCGTTTGCATTTTGTGCTGTTCATGTTTGGCCTTAAGTTTTTGCTTTTGCTCTGTGAATAATCAGTTCCAATGTTAATCACTCATGGTCTCTGTCTTTCACCTCTAGGGCAGGGTCCTTTTTACAGGGTGGGTAGTCCGCACTGCATGAAAACTGTGACCCTTCGGTCTTCCTTCAGCTGGCCACACTGAATCTGAAATGTGCTTAAATCCCTTGTCCCTTTGAAAATGAGGGTTTAAGTATCCTGCTAAGCAGGGACACTGCAGAGGCCTTCGTCTTGCTGCCAGCAAGACATCTTCTGTTCACTTAAATGCTGTAGAAAAAGGACCCTAATGGTGAACCATGTTATTAGTGACACAATTTGGCATGGCAAGTGTTACCTAAAGCCCCAGTCTCTCTGGATGCCTACATATCTCTACATCCTCCCCTTCCAACTACTGCTAATGACAGGAGCCCCAGTCTCCTGTTTCAGATGGGGTCACTACAGCTGCTCTTCTATGCAAGAGAAGGGAAGATTGCAAAACCCAGCCTCCTACCTGGTTCTCTTACTCTGCAGGGACACAGTTTGGGCTAAATCCTATTTCAGTGTACGAGGTTAAATTGCAAACCTGCTAAATACTTCCATATTTTCAAGCAATAGCCTAGTAGGTACCGTTCTAAAGCAGGGAGCGAGAGACTTGGATTTTTGGCCTTCCTTACCCACAGGGTTTTGCAACTGTACCTCATGCTTCCTAGCAAAGTGCCACCAGACCATGGGCTAGGCCTTACCCAGGCCTTTCTCCAGCTTTCCTCTGGAAGCTGGCTCACTAGGCAGCTAAAAGGTGTATGGGGTCAGGTGACATCAAGCAAGCTGAAGAGTGTGTGGTTCAGCAATAGGGCTGATACTTTGAAAGGGCAGGTAACACGGATTCCAGCCTAGGCCCTTACTCCCACTGGGGCAGAAATTTCCCCACTGATGTCAATCCACATTACCAAGTGGCTAATCGATGCAAAATGCAGTAGGTCAGACTCAAGGGTGGGGGGCATGGTGCTGGACAGGTGCCTGGGGGGTAATACCTTATTTCTGGCCTGGTATTTACAGCATCAGGCTGAGAAGAAAGAGTTACAAGTTTCTGTCTAGGTGTGGTAGGCCTACAACACAGGTCTCACTACCTAAGTGGTTTAGGGACCCAAAACAGCATAAGATATGTTGCAGTGTCCTGTCCCCCATCCCTCCCGCAACCAAACAAGTCATCACCCAAAGAGTTCAAATGAGCTTATTGCCTTGACCCTGCAGTGGCATCCTCCATAGCAGTCAAGATGCTCCCAGTCAGGCCAGATGATAGCAATGGTCTCATACGACCTAAGGTCTGTGTACCTTAGATTGCATCGTCTATAGGTGGTACCCCATTATGAACTCAAGGTGCAAAGTGCTCCAGTGGACAGCCCCCATGCCTGATGATAGACACCATTTATGACAAAGACATGTTGTATTGACCTTGGGAACAATTCACTCTTCTTTGTGCCTCAGTTTCCCATTGTCTAATTCAATGCTGAGATCTTTGGAACAGGAGATGTGTCTGCCATGCAAACATACTGTGCCGGGTATGATGGGGCCTATGCTACAGCTGATGCCTCCAAGGTAATATGAATGATAGCATCAAAGTTAAGGTCAACACAAGAAGGAAAAGTCTCCTAGACAATGGAATGGTCTCCCCCTGTGAAATTATGGATGGTGCATTTAAATACATTTGAGTACTGTATTGGTAAATCCTTCTCTTATCTATCCAAGGGGCCTCTGCCACCCCCTGTTATCAAGGAGAGGTACCAGTACTCAGTACCTCAGGAGCATTTGTCCCTTATGTTCAGATGGAGAAGGCTTCCTGGAAATACTGTTACACTTGCCTCTCTTATCAGTCCCCTGAGCCACCTCAGGTGAGACATTTAGGCTGGGATTGATCATGGGGCCTTTAGAGCAGTTAACACCCACAGTCCAATGATTTGCTACAAACCTAAAGGAAATCGTTGGCAAATGTGGCCCTGATGGCTACATGACTCCGTTTCTCCATATTTAAAATCACCAATCACCTTATCTGACAGGGCAATTCTGAGATGAAATTCATGTCTGCCCTTGGGGTTTTCAGAAATTACTGTAA